AATTCATGTTGCCTTAACAATTAAGACATATTTCAAAATTCCTATGCCTTAGAGAAAAGTTTCCACTAAAATGCTTTGGACATTATACTATTCAGTTAAAGTGTTATCACCTTCACCTTTCACCTTTTGGTGTTAATATATGGAAAATGTTTTCTAAATTATTAAAATGAAATCATATTCTAACCCCCTTTGAGGAAGATAGGTGGCTATATAAATTTGATAAAAAATATTCAATAATATCATGCTGACATGCTACACATTTATTTTTCAACATGTCTTCACTTGTATATATTTGAGACTGCATGTATTTAATACAAAGAGTATTCTTCTGATTAACTCAGATTGTTTTCTTATGCTGTTACTGCTGAATCTAAAAGTAGCTTCAAAATACCTCTGCTATATATTGCTGGTTTGTGTTAGTCAAATATTTATGATGCCTAATAATGAATGTTAGAATGTTAACATAGTGTATCTTACATTTTTGGAAGTAAATACTTCTGGAAACTTTTGTTCTTTCCTCATTCCTAGTGTTTTGCTTACTTCTTATGAAAAACACTTATTGTATTTCCCCTGAAAAGAAATATTTAATGAATTATGAATTTTGGAAAATTCCTCCTTCCCCCAAACCAGCAGCCTTAAGCATAGATGCATAGTTGGGGTATATATTATTAATCATGATTTTCCAATCTGGCAGTAGTTAAAAACTCATTCTCCAGATTAGAACAGATTTTAGTGTAACATGCTTAACTTGTTTTATAGTGGAAAACATGTCTCTGTACTACTATATTATTGCCGAACCAAATAATGCTTAGTATAAAGTGTTATGTTTGTGCTTTCATTTTAAAAGGGAGTTCTTTACTTTCAAACTGAGTGTGACACCTCAAGAAAAAGGGATGGAATTAAGTGAAGATTTCTGCAAAGTTTCTTTAAAGGATGAAGAGGTATAAGATTGATTCAATAAATTGTGCAGAACATATCCAATCACTTTGCAGTTCTATTATAAATTAATTTTTCCACAGAAATGTAAAAGAAAATACTGACAAAGTATGACAACAGAAAACAAAATTCTCACAAAGTATTCTTTAATCAAGCTTATTTTAAAAGGTATTGGATTATAGACATCTCAAAAAAATGCTTATTTTTATTTAGAACCAGGTTATTTCAAAGCTTGTTAAGGTGGGACTTTTAAATTCTTATACTTACAATATTTGGTCAACCTGGGAAATAGCTAACTATTTTCCTGATATGGAGTCATGTGCAAATGTCCTAAACTATTAGTGTTTAATGAACTATTATAAATAGTTTCCAAAGCTATTGTTCTTCTGTCTTCAGTGGAATATTCCTACTTCAGTAAAGCTCTCAGTATAGTTCATAAAGAGTTTTCTAAAAGTCAGTATGCTTTTATGGTAACATAATGTTTTTTTTGGAAGGGAAGAATACATCTGGTGAAAATACTATTTAAATAATTTATTATTTTATTAAATAAGAAAATATTTTTATTTAGTTCAGAACATTTAATCTACTTAAATCCTAGGTGATTTACATGATATATTAATAACTTAATACAACTTATAGGCACTCCTTCACACATATGAGATCTCTCTGCCCCTCTTGCTCTCTACCTGGGTGTTCCAAATAGGTGTCAAACTCGCGTTGTCACAGCGGTATTATGTAATTAATAATATTAAAATTAATAAATCAATCCCATTGTTTAAAAAAAGTTTTAAAAAATGTCCCTGCACCACAGGACAATTTCAAGTTCTAAAAGCAAATTGGGAAAATACAGTTTTTAGCACTTTCCAAAATTTTAATAAAGTGATGGCCAACTTGATATCAGTAGGTAATTTTTCCCCAGAAATTCAGATTGCCACTGAGAGGTCCTGCTTGTTTCAGAATAAATTATAGAAGAAAACCTAGCAGCCTTTTCAGAATCATTTAAAATGATTGATCAATGCTTTTTAATGTACTCCACAATAAGAAACAAACTTAAGACATTAAAATAGCCAGTGTCAGATCTCCACGTAATGCTTGGCATCATGTATTCAATGATAAAAGTAAAATCTGTGTCCTTGCCCAAGTGGTATGGAATATTGGTGAGAAATTAAGGAATTATGTTTTATTATGTTTATAAATTAAATTATGTTTATACAATGAAGGCAGAAAAGCAACGTTCTAGGCTGATATGGGGCATTTCTTCTATATAGAAGAAATTGTTAGCTATCCAGTTAGCAGGTCATTACAGTATAAGTGCATGTGAGGCCTGGGTGAAAAATTCTTAATTGACAATAGATGAGCATACTGATGTCATATCAATATACATCTCCGTTGTGCCTGGAGGTAAACTTTAGTCATTTGAGTAAATTGTGGGGCTTTGGATAAGATGAGAACAATCTGGCCTTTTAGCAAAGAGTTGTCTTTGTCTTCCACAATGGAGTATTTCTATGAACTACCATGAGCCAAGAAAGTAGATAGAATACAAAAACTTTGTATCTACAAGCTATTGTGACCGATACTGTTATCTTTCTTTCTAGGTTCCTTTATTTCTTGTTAAGTTTCAATTCTGTGAAGCAACAAACTCAAAGGTGGATATGGAGATTCTCACATGTTTAGCCCTTAAATCTTTATTACAAGTAACTCCAGAAATTTTAGAAGATGAAAATGAATGTCTCAGAATAACTAATGAAAGTAAGAATACAAAGCATTATATTTTGGCACTAATTCTCATATTTCGCATTGCCCATTATCATTTTATTTCCGTTCCTTTTATTAATGCAGTTAAACATTAAGCGTATTGTTTAGGAAAGGACATTATAGTATTATAGTAACATCTTTTCCAGAACTTAACGCGACAATTATACCGGAGATGATAAAGAATTCAAAGCATTACTCTACTCAAGAAATTTATTCTCGTCAGAACAAAGATCTACCAGAATTCAACAATCCAAGTAGGTACATTTGCACTAGGGTTACTGGACACCTGGCAAAAGGAGGACATATTCCTTTTTTTGTCCTTGTGTTCTTCATCCAGAAGGTGGCTTCTTGATTATCTCTTCCTGAGCTATTCTCTGCAGCACATCACATTTCTAATAATTGCTCCTGTAATCACAAATTAACAAGCTCCACTCTGTGATCTTAGTTACTTAGTGCCCTCTGTCTGCTTACACTGCTGCCTGAAATTGACAACACCTTAATCCAAGTCTGTCAAACTTGCGGCCCGCGGGCTAGAGGTGTCATGCACTGGCCACCCCCATGCCTGGTTTAGCAAAGGGGGGGGAGTCATGATACATCAAGTGATGCTGCCGTGACGATGTGAGTTTGACACCCCTGCCTTAATTAGTTACATGCTGAAGGCTTTTGTCTCTTAAACTGCTCTAGCACATTCCTGCAATTGAAAACTGGTCTTTCTAATGCTGGAAAAAAGAATTTTATATACATGTATTAAGTTCTCTCTCTCTCTCTCTCTCTCTCTCTCTCTCTCTCTCTCTCTCTCTCTCTC